CCCCCCCCCCCTTTTGGTTTTTTTGGGGGGGCCCCCCAAGGGGTGGGAAAAAAAAAAAGGGAAACCGGGGCCCCCCCCAAGGGGTTTGGCCCCTGGGGGGTTTCCCCCTCAAATTTCGGGGGCCCCCCCCCCCCCTTTGTGGGGGGTTTTTTGGGGGCCCTTTTAGGGGAAAGGGTTTCAAAAAAAAAATTTTTTCCCCCTGAAAAAGGGAAGGGTTTCCCCCGGGGTAAAAAAGGGGGCCTTTTTTTTTTTCCCCCCCCCCCCCTTTTAGGGGGGGGTAAAGGGAAAAGGTTTCGGGCAACCAAAAAAGGGGTGCCCCCCCCCCCCCCCCCCCCTTTACGGCCCCCCCTACGCCCCCCCCCCTCGGTGTTTGCCATCGGGATTGGGTTTTCGTCGCTTGGCAACGACGTTGTAAAACAAGCCAATTCACTTCGTGAACTCGGCAACCAGGTTACCGTTTGTTTTTTTTACCTCTGTTTTTTTTTTGGCGGTAACCATAATGGTCGTCGAGTAGATCATGTTGTGCGGGGTGGAGAAACCTCACTCCACGCAACGGGGGATGATCGCACCACGTTGTGTTACAATGGTCAAGCATCCTCGAGGCAGTTACACAGTGCTTACAACTGTCTCTGGAAGTGAAAGCACCAGGAAATAAATTAGGTCATACGCAGCTGCCATCCGTACGCAAGGAAGTAAGCACAAGATGCCGAACACCCTTAGCAGGATGTAGCTCACCCTTGATGCGACTCGCCAAATACCTCACGGCGCTTCGCGCTTGATGATGTGAGAGCCTGGTCCGGTGAGAACCCGGCGTGCTCCGTCCCGGCTTTGTAGGGATGCGAGGTCAATGGTCAAACGACTACGGCATGCACGACTATGAGTACACCCCCCCCTCTACGGTGTTGAGGGGCATCGTCCTGCTGTCATGTTCGGCCTTGGTAAGGTGACAGGGTTAGTGCAGGGTTGAAAATGGAGACCTTCGGAGCTATCCCCCCCCCCCCATTACGGTTTTTAGGGGCGTCGCCCTGCCATCCAATGTTGGAACCCTGGGAGGATAGCAGGCCTTCCGAGGGACGAGGAGGCAGCACATCACACAGGCATGTTGTGCGGGCCCCTAGTTCAAGGTAAATAGCTCTAACCCTAACCCAAACTGATGAGTGTGCTCTCAAACAACAGTCGTCACGCGCATGTGGGCTCTTTTATTTGACACGTCTCCAGTTTGCGTTATGATGTCCTCTTCCTATTCACAACGTCCGTGTGCACAAAGGTACGTTTGTTTATCATGGTCATACTCCGTAGGTTTTATGGTGCATGGCATATTGAAAAAAAACAGTGGTCGGGCGCGAGGGAGTACCGCGGTCGACGGTGCTGTACGCGGGGAGGAGGTGAACTTTCCCGTGAAAACTTCGAGGGTTGACCACACCGGGGGGAACACAATAATAGTGAGGCTTGTTTCGAGTCACTTTGGGGCCCCCTTGGCAGAGGGCTCAACCCTGTAGGCACCCTGTAGGGGGGCTGTAGAGGGTGGCTACTGTAGTGGTCACAAGGTGTGGGAGAGGACCCTGATAAGGTGCTCTTTTCCTTGTGGGGGTCGAAGGTCATGACCTTGTGCAGGCCGATACCCTGATCAGTGTTGTCGGACATGCCCTGCCAGGGTCATGGTGTAAACAAGGTGAAAATGTGGGCCCCGGCAAGGTGTCAGACCTTGCAGGGGTTACCCCATACGAACATGCCCTGTGTGGTGTATAGGGCGGGGTCTTGCCAGGTGAAGACTGCCCACAAAGTGTATGTTGGGACCCTGGGAGGATAGCAGGCCTTGCAAGGGGCCAAGAGGTAGCAGGTTAGCTTAGCGTGACCCGTTTGCTTCAAGGAGAGAGTGTGGTGCTTGTTGGCATTACGTGCCTAACTCATCAGGGACTGGTGCAGGAAGGAGAGCGAGCAAGACGACCAAAGCGACATCTCCAGCGACAGCGATTCGTCGGTATTGCCTTCAGTTAACGTCGTTTCCAAACACGGTAAAATACAATACTTAGGGTTGGGCGCGTCAGCTCTGACGCGTTGTGATCTGGTAAGTATAAGTACTTGTGGCAAAAAATCACCCGAAAACAAATCCCCGAGGGGCTGTCACAAAAAAAGGCTGATAATGTTTACTTTACCCCGGGAGTACATATAATAGGGCGGGACAACTTTGTTTTTGAAAAAACGATCACCCCGGGGGATACTACAAAAAGTTGACAGTTTTTCGCCCAAATTGGGAAGGACATTATTGTGGGGGGAGGGGGGCATATGGGTACCACCGTCGATCTGACTCCGAAGTATCTATGCATACAATATACAAGTAGCCAACAGACCAGAATTTCTGAATGTAGAGTACAAGAGCTCGATGTCAGGGCAAGGTTGGGCGATGAACGTTTTGAGGTTCAGTAGTCCACATTGCGATACATCGAGCGTGAGAACCGAAAACATTATAGAACTCCCCCACCTTCCGACACTGCAGGTGGATGAACGTATGTCTTGGAAAACGCTGTGACGGTACCCTCCAGTTTGTGTCGCGAGGCATCAAGGGCTCAGATGCAGTGTGGAAGCTTTGGATTTTTGCAGTAAAGCATGACGGCCCGTTGTGGCTACATCCCGCCTCGGACAACCACCACCTGCTGGTGACCGAAACACAGACAAAATGCCTTCTGGACTGCGCAATGTCTAATGTTAAATAGTCACTTGGTTGTTTGTGACAATTTGTGGTGGTGGAAAACGCGATGTGGACACAAATGCCATACCCCAAAAGTAAAGAGTTCACGAACCTTAATCTCCTTCTTCCCACGAACCATCCAGAGCTTGCGCCGAAGCTGTGGCGATGCACCCCTTTTCATGCTCACGCAAAACCTACCAGGGCAGAAACACCCCCCCCCTCGTATGACGCCCCCGACGAAGCCACCGTGGCACCGGTATCTCTTGTTTCCTTCTTTGCTGTGCTCAAGTGGTCCCCATGCCCAGCCCACAGACAAGCCCATCAGGTACGGTTGGATCCTCTGCCACATCCTCGACCGTTAGGAACGGGCGCACATGTAGAGATACTCCGAAATAAGTAGTATTATTGTTTTTCTTTGCCTGTCGGGTGCGACGTATGAAGAAAAATGCGCAAGGGCGTGCGGCGGGATAGGTAGGTGTGGTTGCGGTGCTTCTTGTCCCATTATCATGATGCATATCGACATGCACAGCAGGGGTGCGAAGTTCTGGCGAAGCGGCGCAACTATTGTGGGCGACCGGGACATGTACATACCCCTTCATCAAATTCCGATCAGTTGAGCCCCGGCCCGTTGCTGCAGCTGCATCTTGGGTGCGACACCCAACAGCCAGCCAAAGCCACACCACTACCATGCAACACACACGCACGACCAACAATGCAAAGCCCATGGAGATGCGATGGTCAAGCGGCCAAGCCCAGGGGCTCCTTCAGCTTGGGCTACGAACATGGGCGCGCCAGCTTGCGCTATAATAGCGTCCTTGTCTCGATCCACGGAGAACTGGGCGGCACGACGATCTCCTCCTTCAACTCGAGATTGCACATGTAGTGGCGAGCACCGGGAGAGCGCTCTCAAGACGCGAGGCTTCCGAAGATGGTAAGTGCTGTAGGGTTTGTCGAGATCCCGACATCGAGGCAACGCTGCTTGGCATTATTTCGTGTGCAGCACAGCAGCAGCGGTGCAGATAAATTTCTCCCTACAGCTTGTACAATTACCAAAGCTGGTGCTGGTCGCGAGCACACCTACGACACACATACAGCTGCAGCACCTACCGAGGCAGGGAAGCAAGTGTGCTATATCAGTACTGCATTGGTGTTACTAGCGTTGTGTGACTCCATCGCACCTTGCATCGTCCGTAGCACCTATCTGCCGCTCTCCCGACGAAAAGAGCACAAGCAGTAGAAAAAAACCAAACGGCCACCCCGACGAGTCTGTGCTGTATACTGGAGTATACCACACCAACAATTCTCCGGGACCCCCTCTTTCGCTGTTCGATTTTTATTGTTTGCATGAGTCGACCCCATGCCCTGACACTCATTGCGTAAACCTCGACCTGTAGTGCAACGCGCGAGATGCCTCGAGACAGCAGTCATTTTCTGTCTCCACTATTTAAATAGCTGTGATATGCCGTGACGTTGGATCAAGCTGTGCCACGAACTGAATGAGTCATTTTAATAGCCCTCTCTGCGTACTCTCGGGAGGCAACCTGCCCAGCTGTCAGGCCCCCCTAAATTTCCCGAATTGCCTGGCCATCACCTGTGATAAAAGAGAGCGCAATAGAGTTGAAAACCACATGACAATTGTCTTATCAGCACTACTACATGCATGAATGAATTTATGCATGTTCAATTGATGGTCATGTGGTCGGCCAAGGGTCGGCCTCCATACATCGTCATAACCCACTCGTTCCAGATATGTACAATATCTCCAAACAACTCCGAAACCGATAATATATCCACCTCCAACACGTTAAAAAAACGCGGCTACCTCCGAACGTATCGTCAGAGAGGGGATTTGGCTATTTGACCAACTTTCGGTCGTACGTGTCGTTTCACCATCTTGTTTCTACACCTTTCACAGCTTGCTGCACTCCATATGTTTTTTTTTCCATGATGATGTTTGTCCTCTAACGTCTTTCAGTTTCACTTCATATCACGCTGTCTTACAATATCTCCCTGATGTCCCTTCCTCGGTTATTTTGCCCACAATGTGCATCACAGATCAAGGCCGCCTTCGCCACTTCTCGGCGGCGGCGGCAGCTCATCATCGGTCGTGGCGATTCTCCGGGAGAGGCGCAGGTCAGGGGGGCAGGGCAACCGGAGGCGCGGTATGAGGCTTTACGGCTGGAGCTTCGCCATCATCGAACCTCAAGAACACGAGTGCGCACAAGCGCGTTCTGGGAGCCCGCGGATCTCGGCTACGAGGCCTTCATGAGTAAGTGTTGTCCTTGGTTTGTTTCTGTCTTCGTGGCGTACCAGAAAACCGTGACGGTGTACATAATTTCTTATCCTTGACGGGGCAGCTGCGGTGATCGTGTCCTCTGTCTCCAACAGAATTACGGTAGCTTGTGCAGCTTTGTCTGTTCAGTGCGTAGTTGAGTCTGGACATACAGCAGAGTTGATTGGGCGTCGCACACCAAGTTGTAGAAAATGCGTGGTGTTTTGCGTTGGAATCGGGCGAACGACCTGTCTCGTTGGCCGTGTGCACCAGTCGCTTCCCGAACGCGTGCGGACAGGCTGATTACTCTTGGTCTGCCTTGGAGAGTGATTACTTTTTCTTTATCGCTGCAGTGATACTGCACCCATGAAACGCACGTTCCCGCCACATACATCGATCCGTCTGTTCGCAAGATATCGATGTATCTACCTAGGCTTTCAATGGTTCCTTCGTTGAGACTACATATCTCGTCCTCTGTCTATGTGTACGTTCGAATCGTCGTTCATTCGTTTTCTCGCCGCTCAAAACACAGAATTATTTCGCGCACCACTGCAATCTTGGCGTGCCCAGTGGCACAAGGCCGTCGGGCTGCCGTGGTCGACTTCGTGTTCTAAAAGCCTACGTGCGGACTGATGAGGGTCGTGGCCGCGGGCTGATGGCATAAGATACCGAGACTCTCACGTAGTGCGACGTAAGTATGTACTGGTGTAGTGCCCAAGCGGAGGGAGCATGGGTGGGTCCTGTCGCGCGTTGGGTATCGTACACGGGACAGAGCAGCACGAGCACCAACAGCTAGTTAGCAGCAACCACACCTGGGTTGTGCAGTTTGGTGGGGGCGGACGAGAGGTCGTCAGCCTGCGGAGAGGGGAAGTTCATGCGTATCTACGCAAGTGATAATGTGACGTTGCCCCCTATTTAGCAACCTGCTCCTGTCGATCCTCTCGTCTCGTTTGTTCCCGCACACAGGACATGATGGAGTTTGTCGGCTGTACGCTCGAGCTGCACCTTGAGGCCCACGAGTCGGGAGGCTGGGATGCCCTGGACCCGTCTGGCACTTGGAGGATCTGGGGGGGGCATGAGACCCTTGTTTATCTGAGGAGGTGTGTAACCTTGGACATTTGAGTGCGGCTGGCGTGACCGCGGTAAGCCTGCCACGAGGTAGGCCTGCACAGAGGCTGAGAGGCTGAGATCCGCTCTTGAGCAATTCAGGCGGTCCTAGATTTAACTGGATGGCGAATACCGGGAAACTCGGTGCCGAACCCCCATTTCAGTAATATTAATACTTTGACGTCATTTAGTACACCAAAACTCGAGGTTGGACCTCGACCTGACCTTGAGTTTACGTAGCTATCGGCTCGTTCCGTGCCACCTTGAGTTCCTTTTCGAGAGCTAGCTATGCGTACAATAGAGGGATGGGCGAGGGGAGATGCATGCCACGATTCGCGACTTCGTGGAAGGCAAATTTACTATGTTCGCTTCGGTGGCAGTCTTGACTGTATCCGGGGTGCATGGGTTGATAGTGTGCCATCGTGAATCAGGCCAGCGTTCTAGCTCACAAGTTTCAGGATAAACTTACGTCTAAGAAATATAGAACAATTTTCGGCACGCCCACGACGTTTCCCGCCGATATGCATGCCCAGTGATTGCGCTCGCGTAAGGCGCATCTTGATGTATATCACGCCTCCATTGACCACGGGGTTGGCGGAATACTCTCCCCTGAAACCTTGAAGAAACTCCTGGCTGTCAAGACATACGAAAAAAACGAAAACGAGGTGTGTCTTCAAAATGAATGCTACGGCTGTATGCTTCAGCGCGCTTTGAAACATGTTGTCGGGCGTGGTCCTTTTTTTTTGTGTGCTTCTCCAATCTAAGCAAGCCCTCTCATGCGCACGCCTTGTTCTCCTTATCCGAAATGATACGTGCACACTATCTCCGGAGCAGCTTGTGTTTTTAGGAGACGATTGCGCAGCTCTCGCGAGATTCTACGACACCCCATAAACTAGTCCTTCTAACAATATTATTACACACATCTTATCCCTAACCAATTTTTCCGCCGGCCTTTTCGTCGTGGCACCTCCTTTTCACTTGCCCGCCGCAACCCCTCTCAAAACTCAACAGGTTGTTCCAGAACTTCTTCGTACGAGTGACTTGAGAGAACCAGACGCTGCAGCCCTGCCTCTCGACTTTGACGCGGAGGCGTTTGGCAAGATTGGCATCTCACCCAGTACGCGTGCCCCTACCTGTCCAAGCGAGGTACGTTTTCGAAATCCAAATGTTGTGCGGTGCATGTAAGCCTGGGTGCCACTTATCTGTTGGGCATGTCTGGGCTTCGCCTGTGTGGGATTGCTATGCATATCTGATGAGGAGGTTTCTCGCCGTGCTCGCCACCCCAGAGCACTATTTGGGATTTTAAAATTACAGTCTAGCAAACACTCGCAATTTTTTTTCATGGTGTACATATGCAGCGGTCACATAATCTACTTTGGGTTTTGTCGTCGCAATCGCTTTCATGTCTATACCCATGCTACCCATGAATACCCTGCAGGCACCCCACCTGGACCCTCACCCAGTGGTTTCCGATGCCGTCGTTGACCTTACTTTGATCAGCTGCACATCCGCTCACATTCCAATTTTGTCTGTTTCACTATTCGGTTCTCACCATTTGATTTCCTCAAACTTTCACATATGCCCGCTTTTGTGGCAGCCCCTTGCACGGGCGGCCGGTTCGGAGATGGCGCGAGCGATGACGACGAATATCTGGACGACGGCGCGGTGGCAATGGCTGTCGAGGCGGTCACGCCTTGATCTCGCTTCGCTGCCGGCATCATCAGGCGCGGGTATTCATGAATTATGTGTTTCCTTCCTGTTTTAACGCATCATGGGTGATAGGGCAGCGGTGTGATGGTGTGGCCTCGCGTGTTTAAGAAGGTGGTGTGGTACTGCAGGAGCAGGGAGACTGCGCGTGCCGCCGGATTATAGTATTTAGTAAATAGGACTTTTATCTTTGATAGCTCCGCCATTTTTTTTTAATCTTAGGTGAGATACTCACACCAGTGTTTACAGAGATATGATGTTTGATGTTCTGTACACGTTCGCAGAATATATCCAAGTTTGTTGCATCATGGTTGGGTTTTTTATATTCGTACACCCCGTGGTAAAAGCCAGGCGCGGTTGTCGCCTGTAGTCCGCCTGGTGCTGTTGTTGTAGTCATATTTAGCGAGACTTTTTGTTGTTCCTGTTTTCTTTCTGATGTGGCGCAGCGAGATGGTGCCCATCATGGACTCTTTGTGTGGGAGCCTGTCACATTCGCGGGGTGAGTCTTGAGCCCAATTTGCTGAGGTCATATCCGTACGTTCATGTCTTTGAAGGATTATGTAGGCCCGTTCTCTCTCTACGCCTCCTTGGGTAATTTTCTATGCTCGACTTCGCTCTACGCGAGGGGAGGGAGACAAACGTATGCGCGTTGTTCTCATGTTGTAGCTCCGTGAGGGGGGCGGGTGAGGAGTACGTTGCGCTTTCGCCTCTGCGTTTTTGTACGATTGACGATTTCAGAGGCCGACATGTGTGACTTGTCGATTGTCGGCCGCACGATCTGCGATACAACTTGAAAATAAACGTTTTGAGCAACGTCATGCTCGTATCCCTAGTGAGGGCGTCGGCCCAGAAAAAAGTTGCTTACCCCACCCTTGGGCCAACGTCGCTGTGCGTACGTTGGCAGGGTCTGGGCCTACCTATTATAGTGGTACAGACGCGACGATGGCATGCCCATAACCAAGCCCAAGGTCGCTGTGCCTACGTAGCCATGGTCTGGACCTAGGCCAAGGTTCCTTGTATACCGAATCCTACCCAGTTTCGGACTGTGTCCAGGTTACCATTGACGTACGTTGGCAGGGTCTGGAACGAGGGCAACGTGCCTTTCGTGCCGAACCCTGCCCAGGTACTTGACCTTGCCCAGGTTACCTAACCCTAGTCATGTGATAATGGGGGGCGTACCCAAAAGGTCGCTCGTGCCGAACCCTGCCCAGGTACTTGACCTTGCCCAGGTTACCTACCCCTAGTCAACGCCTAATGGGGGGCGTACCGATAAAGTCCCCCCCCCCCCCCAACCTTGTGGCTTAGCCGAATGGCCACGGGTGAAGCAAGGTGGGCAAGGTTTTGCCATCCATATGGTGAGCCCCTAAAACATGGTGAGCCCCTCGTTCGCTACAATTTGACCGAATTGCGCCCTCCCCTTCATGCTTCCGTTTAGGTACGGGACTGGGCCAAATACACACTCGATTCTTACCCTGCCGGGGGTTAATATATGTGCAGGCGATCTAAATAAATACATACAAACATACACACGGAGGAGCTGATTGAGGGCATGTAGTTACCCAAATTCTTCTTTCTCCTACGAATCCCAAGCGAAAAACGACAACAACAACGTTTGAAAATGACCACGAAATTGACACGGTGGGGACCACCATGAACAGGGAGCAGGGTGGCATCGCCGCACGACTTGTTTCATTGCCCACGCGGTAATGATGGAAAGGGGCGAAAAGAAGCGCTACGCTGAAATGATGATATTAATCCAATTATTTTTAATATACCCGCGGGTACCCGTTTTTTTGGTTGCTTTCCGTGAAAAATCACTTCGCCGGGGGGCTCCGTGGTCCAGGGTTGGTACGAGCCGCTTTTAGTCCGGTCCGCCCGTCCGCCCGCCTGCCCAGACCCAGAGACAGGCAGCAAAGACAGAGCGGCGGGAGACAGCGAGATAGACGTTCGTGCAACGTTCACTCACGTGCCCCGTTTGGTGTGAAAGTCTCCATCTCGTCCAACTTCGAAATAGTCAACGCTCAATACACCAGTGAGTGGACCCATATTTCAAATTCCACCGCACCTCATCATCATGCCCATGTGCCCGAACCGCGATGTGCTGAGAGGGGAAGAAGTGGAGATTTTCAAGATCGTGTCCGAGGGTGCCACCCCAGAGCAGTGGGCGAGGTGGCTACGAGCTCCTCTCGAGCACGCCGCCGCTAGCGGCAACTTGAACCTGGTTGATAGGCTACTGAAGGCTGGGGTTGACGGCAAGGCCGGATGGAGGGGCTGCCGCGGCCGGTCTCTGCTCGATGCCGCTGCCTTGGGTGGAAACGCTGGTGTGATGTCTGCCTTACTCCAAGCAGGGTGTGGACCGGATGTCAATGTCGTGGCTTCTTCCACTGGTAGATCGGCGCTGTACCAGTCAGTCCTGGGCAAACATGAAGCTGCGGCGAGAAAGCTCATCCTGGCCGGAGCCGATGTCAACTTTGTGGACCGTGCCGACAAAGCCGGCCCGCTCTTCGCCGCTGTTAAGGCGGGGTGTGACGATCTTGTGGGTAATCTACTGATGGCTGGAGCAAATCCAAATGTGATAGTTCGTCATTCCTTCGGGCACGGAACTCCTTTGCACGCTGCAGCCAAGCAGGGCCTCGCTAACACTGCTTCGGTGTTGTTGAGCTCTCCAAGCACCGACAAGAACGCCCTTGACAACCAAGGGTACTCCCCCCGCTGATGGTGGCATCCGAGCAGGGCCACGTAGCCACGGTAAAGGTTCTCTTGGCCGCAGGTGCTGATACCGACATACGGGACCTGGACAGTCACTCAGCGCTGGTATTCGCGGCTCAGTACGAAAGGATCGACGTGATGAAAGCGCTATTGGAGCATGGCGTAGATGTCAATGTTGGGGAAGACCACTGGAATCCTCTTCACTGGGCCGCTCAGTTTAACAGCACCGGCTGTATTACGGTGCTGCTTGATGCGGGAGCTGACATCGATGTCAAGTGTTCGTTCCTTGACGGCAGAACATCTCTACACTTCGCGGCCGAAACTGGGAATAACGAAGCCCTGCTCGCCCTCTTGAGGCGGGGAGCCAACGTCCACCAGACGACCGACGACGGATCTACAGCTCTACACCTCGTGAGCGAAATGGAAGGGCATGCACCGGACGACACCGTGGATATTCTTTTGAGAAGGGGTGCCTCAGAACAAGCGGTGGATCGTAATGGGAAAGCCCCAGTTGATTTGTTCAAACGAGTGCAGCGACGTTTTCAGAGCGCGAGGCCGATGGGGGACAGCGAGTGGCCCGAGTTAGAGCGCGCAATCGAGCTGTTGGCGCGAGCTCCAGCTGACCGGACGTGGCGGCGCCGGTGCTGGCTCATCATGCTTCGTGAACGAACGAATAAGGAGCGGACGATCCATGGCGGTCGTCGACGCAAGGGCAAGAAAGTAGGCAATGGCGAAGGGCTTCTTCTGGGTGATGGGAAGCGTGGAGGAAGTAACAATGTGCGGCGAAGTGGTCGCAGCCGAGGTCGCGGCGGGGGGAGGGCGGCCGTCGAGGTGGACTTGCGCGGCTTGGTGAGCGTGCTGGTTTGCCTGGAGTCGGATGGGGTGTTTCGCACGATTCTGGGCTACATCTGAGACTTGAGGGTCAGGGAGAGACAGGTGCGTTGGCGTTGGGGGCTGGTGCTGTACCTAAATCTAACTGTAGTTCCTCCTGCGTTTAACGTTGAAGGTCAAGCAAAATCAGCTGTTATTGTCGGATGGTGAGTTGGCTTGGCTGCTTTCTAACGCACACGTGTCCATATTGGGACGTTACTCATCTCGCACTGCTTGTGGAGAGTTCGGCGCCGGTGCTGTCATCCACGTCGCTGTACAACGGCGTACGGACGTGTGGGAAGCCCTCAATTCATGGCTTCCTGAAACTTGAGAACAATCCAACACCCACACAACAGAGGGAAACGTTCAAGGCCAGATAATTTGTGCAGGCGCCGGGCATGCGAATCTCACACGAATATCTGGCTGTGTTTCCCAAGGTTGCACGAGGTTGTTGAATAGATGTTTGTGGCGGCGAGGCGTGGTGTGTGATTGTTGTTGTTGTTACATTTGCATCATTCAGGCCTCCGCTCACTGCCTTATCTTCCCTACTCTTCATCGGCACCAGCATTTTTTTTTCGAACAAGGCCCATGAGACTCTCGGAATTTAAGGAGAATCTGAGAACTTAACATTAGATCCAGAGCAAGTCCCGCCATCGCACGAAAACAATCATTGTTGAAAGATCAAGCCCACAGAAACACAACGGCAGTACAATATGAAGTTTTTAAGCCCCACACAAGACAAATGCAGGACACAATCTTCCTATTATAGCTGGGTCGCAAACATACGTCTCTGTCCGCAATGCAGGCAAGTATGTGGAAGACCAAGCAATCTGGCGTTTTGTTATTGAAACTAGAGGAATATAATAGATCTACGATGTTGCACCGCTTTCGAGGCGTGTTGGTTAGAGCATCTTCGTGTTCGTTTCTGGGATCCCAGGCCAAGAACTAAACTGCATGAACATGAGAGGAGAGCAGTCATCACGTATTTTCGCAAATGAGCTAAAGGATCGGTCTCGTCCCGACGGCTGAAATAAATTGACTCTTTGATCTTGGTTTGTTGGGTTATGGTGAGATCCCAGGAATCCGATGGTACACGATTTCCCCCCAAAAGCCAAAGCCTTCCGGTGGCATGCCTCTGTCCACATGTATCTCGTCTTTTTCCAGGTTGTTAAATGTCTCCTGCTGTTCCAGACAGCGTGATATACTTTTGGATTACTACCGCAACAGCAGTCTTAAACAATTCGAAGGTATTCCCGCAGCCTTCGAAGCTCGGAATTGTTTCATCTCTGGCGTTCATTTGCCCCGACCAGACCAATCCCGCTACGTGCCGTGTGTGGGAAGAGGGCGAATCGCTTCGAGTGAGAACGAAACCCAAACGAAAATCACCACACATGCACTGTAGGATATGTTCGTTCTGTTCCCGACAGCGTCTTTCTCCAACCCACTCCTATGTGCTGCTGTGATTTCACCCCCAAGGTGGGAGTATTCTTTACTTGTGCGTGTCTAACTAAAATATCCCGCTTTCGTCGATCAGCTTGGCCCCCGAGTGGTGATGTATCCGTTAGTTCCACCTGGAGCTTTCCTTTCTACCGTCACTCTCCGCGATGTTGGGGATCACAGCGAACTGAAAGCGTTCGGTTATTATACCCGAAAGACCCGTTTCCATTTTTCGCTTTTGTAGGAGTGAGTGACATGCAATGCCCCTACCGCCCTTTTGCAAGTAGACCGCTTCCTTAGAGGGTTTAGTGAGATCTAAGGGAGAACAATGTTTGTGTGTTTTTGTGTTTGGCGTATATATTAGGGGTCCGAGGCCAGCGAGCAGGTCAAACCAGTCTTCAACGGGTACTGAGGATGCCGTTTTCCAAGGCATGCATTGTCTCTCTAACAGGTTGTATTTCTTCCTCTGCACGCGTGTTGCTTTTTGGTGTTCCCGTAATCGTGCAGACGCACGATGACCACCCTGGTAGGACGGCCGAGGACGTGCAACGCCGAGAAGACAATGTCTGTAATCCTGCCTATCTCTGGAGGCTCATCGATGATTTCATCGTATCAAGCCCTTCTGGGTCGTGCATGTGTATTTTATGCATGCCTTGATGTGATCGAGACGATCCCGTCATCGTCATCAGTAATATAGTTGTACAAAGGAAGCAACGGAGTTTGTAGGTTAGGGAGAAAATACGATTGAAGCAACGGATATTATGAACTGCTGCAGTTTGGTGTCAGTCAATCCAACCTCTTCAAAACCAACCCAAGTCCAACATGTTGCAGTGTCTCCTCACACGGCATGCGCAGAAGGGGTGCAATTGCATATTAGTGTCGGTTATCGTTGCTCACGGTGAGCATACAATTCCACTAGGTTTCCATTCGGGTTAGTAGTCGTTCGGCTCGCGTTCCATGGTTTGTCGCAGAAGTGATGGTGGCGCCCAGGGGTGTACATATTTGTCTCAGCCTGTTCATCGTGTAGTTGTATGTTATAGTTGTGTGTTTCGCAAGTTCGTTTGGCTTGATGTTGTCATGCCGCCCGAGGATTTCGCCACCCTCACAAACGCGCGGTCCGGGAAGGCTCCTCAACCCGTGCACGCTGCGGAAGAGCATAGTTTCAGGTGGTGCCATCTGCATTTTGCCACTGCCCTGGATAAGCAAAGCACAAGCGGCACTTTTGCCCCAACTAATTCTGCCCCTCAATCGTTTGCCAAGGTCTGCCGGTGGGAATGTTCAGGCCCGACAACTGGGCAACAAATGGTGTACTCGCTACTTCGAGATCAAAGCAAGCCCCACCGGAAGGGAGATTTGTGCCCCTGGGAAACCCTCTTTTGATTCGCCGCGCGCTTCCCCTCTTCGGGATTATTTTTTTGCGAAGTCGGTAGCACACTCTCAATGGGAGCACGTCTTCGAGAAGACGAAACTCCGAAGAGACTTGAACAGATCGTACACCGGAGGTCGCGTCCTTTGAGAGCTAAATGTACCTCTGTGAGAAGAGGGCCTCGTCCTCGACAGACTTTGATGAGATGTGATCCGGTCACGTCTCTCCCACACGCCATCGCAGCACTCTGGCGGATCCATCTGCGGCGAGGTTGTATGCCCAACTACACGAAGGTTGTCAAATCTCGCGTGGGATTTTGCGCGTTACCAATATCTTTGTTGTCCCTCAATGCCAGAATTGGCGCCCATTTCGCCAATAGCTTGCAACAACACACGAAGGATGCCTTTTTTTTTAGCGTTGAGTTCATTCGATAGGAGGGTACCATGAACTCCACGAAACTACGGCCGCATTCGAACCGTAGTTGCATCTGTGGGTACCGACGTGCCGAATGTTAAATGTCACCCGTTACGAAAACATAAAATAATTATTTCTCACACATGCTCCAGTCTTGGACGCCCTGAACCCTGTTCACCGTTACCTCCTTTTACAAACGAGTGATGGCACTACGGAGGTGGACTGGGTTTGCACAAAGAAAACAGCGTCCACGCCTCCACAGCACGGGAGGCGCCGCAAACTAGTCACAGGGAAACCACACGACCCGAAAAACCACAGTAGTATGGATTTGATTCGGGTAGCACGTACGTGTCGTGTGCGTGTCGCCGCAACGCGAAGGCCGCGGCGCAGAACTGAAACTTGCTGTACATGATGCACGCATGCTACACGACAAAAAAAAAGGTACGTCAAAACCCGGCACACGACGGTGTAGTCAGTCGTGTTCGCCAGCCCGTCTCTACTCCGTATCGCACGATTGTACACCGAGGAAGGGCCAGCGCCTCTGTCGACTCGTGAACAACCAAGCCGGCGGCATCGACAAGGGAGCACGGCCGCGGCTTCAGTAGCCTCGACCTTGCACACATGCCTCCAGCAGGTCCGTGATGCACTTCGTCTGGGCGGACGGGGACGGGAGGTGAGGAGGGGGAAAGTCGCGTGTCAACAAGATAGGAACGCATTCTCCCACAATTTTCCCTGTGCATGGAGGTGCGCCAACAGCGCGGCGGAAAACCTAGGCACCCACACCCACCGCCCGAGCGCCGTTGAAGCAGAAACGAGCTTCAAACATAGTCTACAATCCACGCGCTCGCTCCGAGTGCCTTTGAGCGGAAAACAGCTCCGAACCTAATATCCTACAAACCTGCTCGCCCTGTAGTGAGTCGAAGACATACATTGTACCTCGCCCGAAAAACATGCTATTGTGCACATGTGCCAAAACACACCTTTTCCGATCTCAACCGCAAGCGCCTGCCCTCCATGTGCTTCCTCGCCAAGCGGCAGCTCCTCTCGTTCTCGAAGGTCAGCTCGCACGCCCAGGCCTGCATGTCGCACATCGACCCGGCGTCCCCTCCTCCGCCACCTTCCACCGAAGCGCCGCTGACGGCCCCTTCCGTCGTCGCCCCCTGGCTACTACTGCTATCCGGGCCGCCGCCGCCGCCGGTGCTGGACCTTGGGGTCGAGGCTCTCGGTGCCGCGACCGGCCGCATGAGCGCTACAGGGCTGTGGGAGAGCGCCCTGATGAGGAGGCGCTTGTCGTCGGCGGGGTCCACTGCCGCGGCCAGGTGCAGCAGCGGGGCCGACGACTTGATCTCCCCGTTCATGAGTCGATTCCTGATCGTTCAGGTGCATTGTGAAGAAGGAGACTTAGTGTCAACAGCTAGTGGAAGATAGGAGGGACGTAGCGCGAGCAGTGAGGGATTCTGCTTGCTTTTGTTGGTAGAGGAGAGCGGGGGTTAGCTTGCTTTTGGTGAGGAAGAGGACAGCATAGAACCGAGCGTGAAAAACACTTCACCAATTGACATCCTCACAGCGGGTGCTTAACATCGTGAGGGTAGGCATCGCATGTGGGACACGGCATACATAGAGTCCCACCGCCACACCACCAACCAACACAACACACCACATGGAGACCGCCCCCACGCGAGATCTGTTTCCGCCCCCTCCCGGAAGCAAAACCAACACAAACCCAAACATGAGGAAGCTGAAACGACGAAAATACAGCAGCAGTGGGCCACACGCCCGACTAACGGTTGCCAGTCTTGGTTGACGACCATACGAAGGGAACAATGCCGAATCTGGAAAAGGGTGGGAAACCGCCAAAGTCAAAGCATGGAAGGGGCTCGAATACACCATTACAGACTGGAGAAGGACAGCTTGCGGGATGCAAGGAAGGCGTCACGTGCATGACAAAAAAGCGCGTGGATTGGTAAGCGAGCACTGCAGAATAAATACACAGGAAGCTTCAAGAACAACTGGGGTGAAATTCTGACCTCAAGCATACATTTCTTCTTGGAGCTGTCCTTGCTTCACGATGCTGTCTCGATTTTTTGTGTACAACCAGGAACTATCCCTGCCTCGCGAGCAATGAGACTTGCTCTGGGGGGGAAATATCGACATACCCAACCGGGAGATTCGACACACAACAACCACTCCATCAAAAACATGGGACCACCACTACGGCACCTATCCGGGGTGGCCAGAAGAAACGCCTTGTCGTCGAGGACCAGGTACATCTCCGACCTCCCGCGCCGGCCCGACGCCGCAGCAGAAGCCGCCGCTATCGCCGCCGCCACTCCCGACCGGCGTTTTCGGCCCCCGCCTCCGCCCCTGCCAGAACTGCCGCCCTCCAAAGACTCGGAGATGGAGCAGGCCAGGCATTCTCGTCCCCCGAGGTCTAGGGAGCCGTCTTCCCAAGGATGCTCTTCGGCCTGCGGACCGAGGCCTGAAGAGGGGTGCGCCCGGCGGGAGGTTTCGAAGGGGGGAGGGGCGAGATATGGGCTTTGAGGAAAACAACGAGCGCGTGTGCGACAGTTCTTTGGCCTGTGGACAAGGGGCTGCGCACACTAGTCGAGGGATTTTTTTTATCTCTTGAAGGTTCCGTGCATTATTTGTCTCAGCCGAGAAAACGCAGAGAAGAGCTTTCCCCCCTCTCAACAGCGAACGACAAAAAGAATCTTCCTGGCGTGTTTGACCTGGTTGGACGTGATCCTTTAAAGGACTGATTGGTCTGCACTTGCGAAACGCTGCCCTTATCTTGGAAGGGAATGTTCGGCGACAGCAACGGCGATCACGATGCTTATGAACGCCAGGCGAGGACATTTGGATCATCCGCAAGGAACACCCCGGAGAAAGCCCCAGGAGGGTTACTCCACCTGCAAAGCGGCATAGTTTTTGGTTCGAAACTCGAGGAGACCTCCCGGGGGGCTCTGTCTACACTTTCCCTCTGCATTGTCGGCTCGTTTCCTGCTAAGGGGGCACGTGATTCTGGGAAGTGAAACACGGTAGCTTGTGGCCGAAAAAAGGGGTCCGCAAGGACACATCGAAAATGTACTTCGTGGGATCTTTTTCGCTGCTGACGCGTGTCTCACCGGCAATGGACAGCACGGAAGGGTCCGCCTCCCCTCTCCCCGAGAGGAGACGCAACACCTGCCGCACCTCTAGGAACGCCTGCAGAGAGCTGCGGAGCTCCCGCTGCCGCGCCCTGCCGTTCCCGCCGTCCGCCTCCGCGCACCCTTGCGAGGTGGGCGGGGACGGCGGCGGCTGCGGCGGTGGGGCGGGTACCCGCTGAGACGGCGGCGAGTTGTCCAGGCTCCAGCGGAGGATCAGGCTTGACATCTTGGGGAGGTTTGTGATTGCCCCGTCTAGCCCTACCCGTTTCGACCACTCGCGAATCTTCACCATAGTCCAAGTACCGAGAAAGGCAAGGGGGCGGGGGGGGGGTCAGGGCTTGCCAATGCCACACCGGCCGCCCACAACACAAAAATACGTACAGCACCGTCATGCACGCGGTACGCGCGGGGGAAAAGCAACCACCATTTGAATACCAGCAACCGCTGCCAGCCAAAAAAGCGAACTGATTTTTCCTGCTCTACGGTAGGCCGAGAGCAACCGCTGAATTTCCGTCCACGGAAACAGCACTAACGGGTCGAAAAACCGCCATATTTTGTCCATTTCCTCTCTGTCTGTCTGTCTGTCTGTCTGTCTGTCTGTCTCTCTCTCTCTCTCTCTCTCTCTCTCTCTCTCTCTCTCTCGATCCGACTGCCT